CGATAAATCACATGCACTTGAGAAATTCAAACTTTTCAAACTGGAAGTAGAGAAACAATGTAGGAAAAGTATCAAAGTTGTGAGATCTGATCGAGGTAGTGAGTACTATGAGAAATATGATGAATCTGGTTAAAATATGGGTGATTTTGCAAAGTTTTTACAAGAGTGTAGAATAGTGCTCCAATACACCATGCCAGGGACACCTGAGCAGAATGGTATTTCTGAAAGACGTAATCGAACTCTAAAAGATATGGTTAGAAGTATGATGAGTAGAACAAATTTGCCCGAATATTTGTGGGGTGAAGCCTTGAAAACAGCTATGTATACTTTGAATAGAGTTCCAAATAAAGCTGTTGCAAATACACATTTTGAATTATGGACATGACGTAAGTCTAGTATGACTCACTTTAAAATTTGGGAATGTCCAGCTGAAGTTAGGATTTATAATCCATTTGAAAAGAAATTAAACCCTAAATCAACTCCTGACTATTTTATTGGGTATCCGGATAGATCAAAAGGGTATAAAATTTACTGTCCAAATCGCGGCACTAGAATTGTGGAGTCCATTACTGCTAAGTTTCTGGTGAACGATTTTGGAGATAGTGAGAGTTCCACGTTGAGAGAAATTCTTGTTGAACATAATCAAGTTGTTGTTTCAGTTCCTGTCATACAGGAAAGACTTGGTTCTCAACTAATTGAAGTTGTTAATGAAGAACCGAGGAATTAGGATGAATCTCTAATTTCTCAAACAACGATTGAATCGGTTCCTAAGCCACAAGTTAGGAGATCACAAAGGGAAAGAAGATCTGCATTGCCCAATGATTATATTACATATTTATCGGAGAGCGATTTTAATGTTGGCCATATTGTTGATCTTGTAACTTATAACCAAGCATTGACAAGTCCTGAGATAGATAAATGGATAGCTGCCATGGAATATGAAATGAATTCCATGGAAAGGAATAAAGTTTGGAATCTTGTTGAACTTCCCCCAGATGCTAAGGCTGTAGATAACAAGTGGATTTTCAAAAGTAAATTAGATTCAAAAGGAAATGTTGAACGAAAGAAAGCAAGATTGGTTGCAAAAGGTTTCACTCAGTGAGAAGGCATTGATTATGTTGAAACATTCTCACCTGTTTCGTCGAAAGATTCTTTTCGAATTATCATGGCTCTTATGGCATACTACAATTTGGAGTTTCATCAGATGGATGTTAAGACATTATTTTTGAATGGAGATCTTTCTAAAATGGTTTATATGAAACAACCTGTAGATTTTGTTGTCAAAGGAAAAAAGAACTTTGTATGTAAGTTAAACAAATCATTATATGCACTTAAGCAAGTATCTCGACAGTGGTATTTGAAATTTGATGAGGTTGTGACCTCTCTTGATTTTGTTGAAAATACTATTGATTAATGCATTTATCTTAAAACCAGTGGGAAAAATTTTATTTTCTTTGTACTGTATGTTGATGACATTCTGCTTGCTAGCAGTAACTTAGAGTTGTTTCATGAGACAAAGAAAATGTTGTCTGCTAATTTTGAGATGAAAGATCTTGGAGAAGCTTCCTATATACTTGGCATTGAAATACATCGTGATAGAAATTGTGGCTTATTAGGATTTTCTCAGAAAGCTTATATACGACGTGTTCTAGAAAGATTTAATATACAAAATTGTGCACCTGGTGATGTACCTATCATAAAAGGAGATAAATTTAACAAAATTCAATGTCCAAAGAATGAGTTAGAAAGGAAATCTACGAAGATGATTCCATATACTAGTGCTGTGGGGAGCTTGATGTGTGCTCTTTGTACTAAACCGGATATAGCCTATGCAGTAAGTGTCCTTAGCAGATTTCAGTCTAATCCAGAACAAGAGCATTGGAAAGCATCTAAGAAAGTTATGAGATATTTGAAGAAAACTGAAAGTTATATGCTTACATTCCAGCGTACAAATCATCTTGAGGTGGTAGGATATTCAGATTCTGATTTTGCTAGATGTCAAGATGATTTGAAATCAACCTCAGGTTATATTTTTACATTAGCTGGTGGTGCCATTTCTTGGAAAAGTGCTAAACAAACTCTAGTGACATCTTCTATTATGTAAGCTGAATTTGTGGCGTGTTATGGGGCTACAGTCTAAGCCGTTTGGTTAAGAAATTTCATCTCTGGCTTGAAAGTTGTTGATTCCATCTCAAGACCGATCACCATCTACTGTGATAATAGTGTAGCAGTATTCTTTTCAAAGAATAATAAAAGTTCTGTTGAATCAAAACATATTAACATAAAATATTTGGTTGTTAGAGACAGTGTCAAAGAAGGGCAGACGAAAATAGAGCATATTAATACAGAGGCAATGGTTGCAGATCCCTTGACTAAGGGACTCGCTCCAAAAGTTTTTAAGACACATGTTACTAATATGGGTATTGTGGAAACATTTGATATTTTTGGTTAGTGGAAGTTATTTATGTAAAGAACTACGTTTTGGGCTTGATTCATTTGCGGGGTACGTAGGCAACCCATATGTTTTCGGGTACAGCTCCTTCTGACAATAAAATAATTTTTCCCCTATCCATGAACTATTTTAAGCATGCATTTGACTTATATCTTTTTATTATTGACATCTTGAAATATGACGTATAAAGACATAAGATGAGTCTCTTTTAGAGACATGTGACTTCATTTTGATCAGAAGCATTATGAGGACCGATATGAATTAGCACAGTTTTGTTCACATTTGGTGCTAAGTTCATACCACGTACTACCACATTGGTTGGAGGATGGGGATTCATGTCGATAAGGATGTTGACATTTGTAGCTGTGGAATGATCTTACATCTCTTAATTGGTGTAATGACTTTCATGTTCGGTGTTAATATTCTTGTTGGACCAGATCATGTTACGTAAGGTGATATCATTGGAGTCATACTTTTGTGGCCACCTATGTAGTCTAACCCGGATGTTAAAACTTTGTTATGACAATCAAATATTTGCCCAAGTGGGAGAATGTTGGAATAATTAATAATTTCATATATGGGCTTCACATTCGATTGCAAATTTTACGGATTAAATGTATGGCTCATAATGATAATTGTGTTTGGGCTAAATTTATTAAGTAATCAATTGAGCATTTTACACCTTACGAGTTGTAATTAATTTGATGTGGTAATTTTAAGTATGTGGGCCGAAAATAAACCCTAATTAGAATTCTAGTCATAGACTCGTAATGGGAAGGCTCAAATTATTTTATATATATAAAGGTTAAGTCTCATCTCCTCTCCATATATTTTTTATTGGCTTGCCCCATTGATAGCTAATACTTTTGTGAAGAGTAAGGAGGTGAAGATCTTGCTGCTAATACAATTACAATTATTCAGATCAACAATGATTTCCGCAGGCATGAATTCGTTTCTATTAATTTATTGGATTGTGATTATCGATTCTTAACATGATTAAAACTAAATATCAACACAATAATCTCCTTGAATCATACGTAAATTAGTTTTGATATCTTAAACGTTCATTAAGTGTTAAGTACTTACCCTGTTAAAGGGGCCTAAGATTTCAGTGTGATCATATTGTTTTTTATTAAAATTCCAAATTCTTTTGCTCTCTTTAAGTTCTGTCTATAAATGACAACCTATAATATGGATAAATTCCTCTGTTATTCAACAATTTATGGCCTCAACCTTTATTTTACATAAGCAGAACATGTTAAACTTCCTTCTAAAAAACTTAATGTTAAAAGGACACGGTACGCTGCTTAAAAATTCCTCATACAAAGTCGAAATATGTTATTACACTATCTAGAAATTCTGAAAATTATTCATACTATAAATCCAATCAAGAACGACGACCAAATTAGCTTCTACCATATGCAAGGGAAGGTATTTAATATGTATGCATAAATCTGCTTGGGCTAATCTAAAGCTTTTCAACTAAAATCAACCCAGCACTCTTCAAAATCTCTTTAGAGCAATAATGTTCCGAAAACCAAAAATAAAAAATAAAAATGAAAGAATGGGTAAAAGAGATCTGTTCAAAGCCCACCATAGCTTGCATTACAGATGAACAAGACATCAACCTTTTAACAACTGAAAATATCAAATAGTTAAGCTGATGATTTGTGTTAAGAATTGGTAAAAAGAGTCGGAAGGACTAAGTTGATTGAAAGAAAATATAAATTTCAAAGGATGCAGAAGTTATGAAGTATCCAAACTTCAGTGCTATTTGATACATTTAGTTCAATAATATAATATACTTATATATTGTTTAGTCATGAACGAAAGATAAAATTAACACATTTTATTTTGGCAATGAGAAATTTCAAACCTAACCAATGTCATGGTCAAATTTGTTTTCGAGCTCTAAAGTTGAAGAGCCTTTCTAAGTTTTTGCCTTTTACTTGTTAAATAGGGGGGAAAAAAGGCATACCAACATCTGATGATACTGTAATCTCCCGTACAGTTCAAGAAGGAGCTAAAATCACTAAAAAGAGAATTGCAACTGCATTTTTTTGAGGTTGTTGATGTTCTTATCCGTAGTTTTGCAAATGGTTTCTTCTCTGTCACGTGTATGGAATTTGCTATTTATTTTGAATCAATTTTTTGATATTTGAAGAAATTGTTATTGGAATTTTTGGTTACTTTAACATTTCTTCATAACTGAAGTTTCATGTTCTTGCTACAATTTTCTAAACGAAGAATATATACTTACTTTTTGATTCTTCAGGTTTCCTTGTGATGTTTAAATAAGGCCTAATTTATTTGTAATGATTCCTGTTATGAGCCCTAATAATTTTTTAAAATGTTATTGTGCTTGCTTTAAAATCTCTGATTACGTATCAGAAATTTATTATTAATTATTTAAGTCGACCAGTGACAAGGAAATGCCGTTAGTAGAGAGAAACATCATAAAAAAACAAATACTAACATAACCATATATAAAAAAAAAATAATAAATAAAAAAAATAATTAACTTGTCAGAAAAGAGCAGATCCCAAAAGATCGAAACCCATAATTGTCTTCTTTTATTGAAAACAAGTAACCTAACACAACTCAATTGTACAAACATAATATAACTAAACATAAATAAGAATGGTACAAAGAAAGAGAAGTTATTGGATTTGGTAGTTCTCCATTGACTTTTCTCCCTCCCATTCATCAACATATAGGCGTCCCAAGGCAGATGCTTCTCACATTCATCACGCGTCCATTGGGGTCTGTAACTCGGTTGAATTAGGTTAAAAATATAACTCACTCGTCCAATAGAATTGGCTCCAAAACCGTAAAATCTGAAAAAAGCCAAAGCAATAACACATCAGTTTATACATATTAGGAAAAGTTTGAAACGCATAATATTCAAGTAAACTCGATGGAAAATTTTTTTTGACAAGAAGAGCAAAACCCTAAACTTGAAATCTGATGCTAAAAAATGAAAAATAGCTAAGTATGTTAAAAAATAAACTTAACTCTCAAAGCCTAAATATCAAATTTATCAACCTTCATCTTCAAGTAGAAAACCTTGGAGTCACAAGTGGTGGTAGATCAGATGAGTTTTGAGTCGAAAAGTTTCAAAATTCCATTGCAGAAGTTTCAAAACTATGACTCGATCTTAGATTTGTAATCCTTGACAGTGAAAAGGCGACTCTCGTTGCAACATAATATGGACAATTGTGTGTGAAAATGAGCAAGAGGTAGAGTGGAAGTGAAGAGGTAGAATAACAAGGCGTGTAGAAATGGAGAAAAAGAAACAAATCAATCATCTAGGTAAATGTTGTCGTTTTACTATTCAAATTAAAAAAGAAAAAATTTGACATCAACATGATGACATAGTGACGCCTTATGAACAGTGGCAACCAAGTTTTCTCTTTTGAGATTGTAGGGGAGTAACACTCGACTTTATGCAATATATTTTACTTTTGAAACACATTCTATATAATTTTTTCAGGAATAATGCTATTCGAACAGATTCCTTTGCACAGATGTTGAACAGGTAATAAAAAATTAATAATGGACACATCAATGAACAGTATTTTTCAAACAATTTCTACTGTTTATTGATGTGTCCATTATTAATTTTTTATTATCTGTTCACACTGCTACATGACCGGCAGTGTGTCACGGAGAAAGTGTCTCCGTGACACACTGCTATGGTCTGTTCACACTGCTACATGACCGGCAGTGTGTCACGGAGAAAGTGTCTCCGTGACACACTGCTATGGTCTGTCAAATTTGTCCCGTTTTTCAAACAATTTCTACTGTTCATTGATGTGTCCATTATTAATTTTTTATTACCTGTTCAACATCTGTGCAAAGGAATCTGTTCGAATAGCATTATTCTTTTCAGAGATCCCTAATTTTGGAGGTATCATATTAGTTTGCAAGTACTGCCAAGTCCAGTTTTGTGCGTTTAAAATTCAAAACCATCTCACTCTCTTGTTCAACCACCCGGAAACGGACCTACGATCTACCAACTACCAAGTACAGTTCGACGTATAGCTAACCATTACCAGGATGCCACGTGATGCTTTTGGATTTTTTCTTCACCACGCGCACATTCGTGACCTCCATCCACTGTAAACGTCCAAAAATAGTGGCAGACGCCAGGTGGTGGCGGAGTTTTCAAATCTCAGGCGGAGTTTTCGAAGCCAAACACCATCCAATCTGGCCCCCTCATATAACCGTATATTCGGAACCCATATAGAACGTCGGATCATTATCGAACGGGTCGAATACACCGTCGTATATAGTAATCCCCAAACCCCGCTCACTACCATTTCCAACTCGAAAGTCAAATCTTACACGCCATCAAAAAGATGGCGTCTTGCGCCCTCACCTCCTCCCTAAACCACCGCTTCCGGCCACTCTCCGCCGGCAGACCCCGCCTTCATACTCCGAAATCTGTCCCCTTTGTTAAATCTGTCGTTAAAAATAGCAGTAATGACTCTTCGAAACCGCTTAACAACCCACAAAGAAGAGATCACATCCAACCCATCACTAAAAAACCCTCATTTTTACTTCCTTTACCGAAAAGGGAGTCGATCATAACCGCCTCTACCTCCGCGGCTTCCGCACCGGCGCCACCTCACCAGCCGTGGCAGGGGGCTGCTATACAGCCGCTTTTAGCGTCTATAGCCACAGGAGTTATTCTGTGGCTTATTCCCGCACCTTCTGGGGTTTCACGCAATGCGTGGCAATTGTTGTCAATTTTCTTGGCGACCATAGTGGGGATAATAACTCAGCCGTTGCCTTTGGGAGCCGTAGCATTGATGGGTCTCGGCGCTTGTGTTTTGACGAAAACACTTACATTTGCCGCTGCCTTCTCAGCATTCGGTGATCCCATTCCATGGTTAATTGCCTTGGCCTTCTTTTTTGCTCGTGGTTTTATTAAGACCGGATTGGGGAACAGAATTGCGTATCAATTCGTTTCTTTGTTTGGGTCATCGTCTTTAGGACTAGGCTACAGCTTAGTTTTCAGTGAAGCCCTATTGGCTCCGGCTATTCCCTCAGTATCTGCAAGGGCTGGTGGCATTTTCTTGCCATTAGTGAAGTCATTGTGTGTCGCTTGTGGCAGTAATGCAGGTGATGGGACTGAGAATAAATTGGGGTCGTGGCTAATGTTGACCTGTTTCCAAACCTCAGTGATTTCATCATCTATGTTTCTAACAGCCATGGCTGCGAATCCGTTGGCTGCAAACTTGACTTTAAACACGATAAATCAGACTATAGGATGGATGGATTGGGCTAAGGCTGCAATTGTGCCAGGATTGGTGTCATTGATTGTGGTTCCATTGCTGTTATATGTGATCTATCCACCCCAAGTGAAGAGTAGCCCTGATGCGCCTAAGCTTGCTAGGGAGAAACTGGAGAAGATGGGACCTATGTCGAAGAATGAGATCATAATGGCCGGAACCCTGCTTCTCACGGTATAAAAATCTGACTTTATGATACAATGCCTGTTAAGACACTGCTTCCTTCAGATTTTTGTCTACTTCTGCACTTATTTTTTTTTTATTGGTCCATCCATTTTCTTTCAGTTTTGCTTCTAGCATCCTACTAAGATTAATATATAGCGAAAAATAGATGGGGAGAATCGGAAGATTACTTTTAGAGAGAGAGAGATTGAAATGTGTTACGTTTACAGCTCTTATCATCTTGTAAATAATGTCCATTTTCTTAAAGTTCTTGATGAATATACCCTTCTCACTTCAAGAGTGTTACCAAATTCTCCATCATTCTTTTTGCATGTATTTCCAACCATCTAAATATTCTCGGCAAAACAAGATAAAATTGACAAGAATGTGTAGTGCAATTAGACACACGCACTCTTCCTTTTTGAGAAATAACGAACCATCTAGTCATTCTTATCAAACTAGGCAAAGTTGATGAGAGTTTCCAGTCCATTTGGACACTCTAGTCTTCCTTGACAACTTTGCCTAAAGTTGCTTAGATGGCATTTTAATAAAAGGGTGATATAATTATTTTACATGACTGAATGGCCATATTTGATACGATTTTGGAGGGAGACAAATTTCAAGTTGTCCCAATTAAAGTAAACTAGTTGGAAAAAGTTTCTTATTCATATGTGGCTAGTAGAGTGTGATTGTACTCTCTGATGATTATTATTATTGGATTAGAAAACCCTTTATTGGTTTAATTTGGAGAGGACCGTGTTATTTTGATATCAGTGAACTCTTAGAAAAATCTGAATTTGACAACTTTGGAGTCCTTGCAATTGCTTTGAAGCCATAAATAATTGTGATATGGAGCCTTGAAGTTATTTAATATTCATCTTCAAGTGCATTTTCCATTAAATTATTTTTTGATCCCTGAAGTATCACTTGTTGCATCAATCTGCCAGGTAATTTAATATTGTTGCTATATATACTTGGTTAAATATGAGTGATGGCCAGACTCTTAACAACCATACTCATATCTTTATTTGAGGAAAACTGAAGCTTGCAAATGAATATACTTCTTTGAATGAGACAATATTTACATAATGCAGAAAAAACAGATTGTCTATTACGGAGACTTAAATTAGGAGTATGTCCTACAGAAAACTGATGCCTCCAATGTGTGCATCATCCCATTGAAATGGAAATGAAGTGATTTTCAGACTGACTATTTTTCGTTTGCACTGTATGGGGATGAAGTCTGTGAATGTGGCTTCGTTTCCAGCAAAATCTTTTATCCTGATTTTTCTCATCTGCGCTTATATCAGGTGGGGCTTTGGATTTTCGGTGGAGTCCTGAATGTGGATGCTGTTACTGCTGCAATTCTCGGATTGTCTGTCCTCCTTATCACTGGGGTTGTGACTTGGAAGGAGTGCTTGGCTGAGGCAGTTGCTTGGGACACCCTTACATGGTTTGCGGCGCTGATTGCGATGGCTGGATATCTAAACAAATATGGTCTCATCTCCTGGTTTAGCCAAACTGTCGTTAAGGTTTGCTTCTACATTCCAAGCCTTTTCTAAATTATTTGATGGCTGGTGCATTTTTATTTTTTTTTCTTTTTTTATTATTTTGGTAAAGAAAAAACAAACGAACTTGACCTTCTAGTGTTTTTAACCGGTATAAAGCTTTTATATACTAATAATAAGGATTGCTGGAACATTAAAGGCCAAACTTTCTATACGGTGGAGTAGAGGAATTATAGCGTTAATGGACGTTTGGCCAAACTAGAATTGAAAAGATAAGAAATGAAAATATTAACCACCAATAGAGAAGGATGAGTTAAGTGGTTGGGGGGCAAATCTAGCATAGACTTAAAGGAGCTTCTAAGCAATTATAAGATTTGACAAAAATACACCTATTGGGAATATGCTGAAGTTTATTATTGTTTTTGTTTAGAAACTATTAAAATACTTATTGAGTTCCCATCTTCCTCAAAGATAATAAGCCCCTGTTTGACAACTATTATTTTCAAACTCTTTTTTCTACATACTCATTTTCAATCACACATTTATGAGATAAAATATTTTACACGTAAACCCAAAATTTTTCCTTACTTTTAATAAACATTCTCTTAAAAATCACTATTCAATACTCTGCTTCCCCAAATAATGATTGTCAAATAAGGGCTAAAAAATATCCTGTTATCTAATGTGAAATGGAAAGTCTAGTTATCGAATGTAACCGTTGTATCCTATGAAGTTCGAATAATTCACTTAAGACCCCCCATATAACCTTTCTAATTCATATCACAATGTTTCTCATTAGTTATTTACATTTCTATTATAATCAAAGGAAAAGAGACCTCGTTGACGGAGATTTTCATTAATATATATCTTAGGGCCTCTGTCCCTGTAAAATAAGTTATTTTTCATTTCTCATTGCCCTCCATCATTTTTTTCTAATTTCTCTCGGGCTATGCAACTCAGTACACATGAAAAATTGCATCTACTTTTTATGGAGTTCCATAGTTCTCATATGACTGATCTTTCCATTACATGATTGCTAATTTCACTTGTTTATTTGCTTTTATGGCAGTTTGTCGGCGGATTGGGTCTTTCATGGCAGCTATCTTTCGGCATTCTTGTTCTTCTTTACTTCTATTCTCACTATTTTTTTGCTAGTGGGGCTGCTCACATCGGTGCCATGTTTACAGCATTCTTGTCAGTAGCTAGTGCTCTTGGTACTCCACCATACCTCGGAGCCATTGTTCTCTCCTTCCTTTCTAATCTTATGGGTGGCATCACCCATTATGGTATTGGATCAGCACCCGTGTTCTATGGTGCTGGCTATGTGCCGCTAGCGAAATGGTGGGGCTACGGATTCCTGATCTCCATTGTCAATCTTATAATCTGGCTCGGAGTTGGAGGGGTCTGGTGGAAGTTTATTGGGTTGTGGTAGACACACTGATTAAGCCGGTTGGCTAATCCATTTTTTCGGGAATCATTCTATCTTTGTCCATTTGGTAAGATTTTTGCGAGAAGTGATAATGTTAATAATATCATCAGTAGCGTTATATTGATACAAGTTCTTTAGTACATTCGAATTGATTTGAAAAATCCATCCATATAATAATAGAGATTTTATGTTTGGAAAATCTCATTAATCATAATATAAAATCTATTTGACATTAGTGTTATAATTTTGTAATGTTGCATTCGAGGTAGTTGAATTAGTATGAACTTATTTGCTACTTTTTGCTTGTATAATTTTTTTTGAGAAGGTGAACAAACCTATAGATCAATTCATTTGGACATGAAACGGTAGATCTCGAATGTTAATTATAATTGTTGATCCTCAAATCATTAGACGATTATTTTTTTACAACTCCATGGATAAACACGAATTATTCAAGTATTTACTTTATGTACATTTCATTTATAAATTATACTTTTAGATTTATTGTATGACAAGGCTATGCGGGCATGATCTTACAAAGTATCGAAGCCAAGTTGGTATAGGCCTATAGGGTGTGAGACTTACATGGTGAACCTTTTAAATAACATCAACGTAGGTAAGTTAAAAATGAACAAAGAACGAGGAATCATGTATAGTCCATATGATCAATTCGAGCATAACAAACAAATTTGTTCTAATCCTAATTTAGTGCGAAACAAGCGTACCTAAGATTATATAATAAACTAATACATTGTGTGGTCACTTGATACAATTAATTTTTCGAATCATCTTCAATCAATGAAAATTATATAATATATAATCAATAGTCAAGCAAAACTAGACGAACAAGAATCACGTTGCAAAAAAAATGATTTGTCCATCTACTTTTTTAAATGAAAATTATCTTTTTATTTGTAAACTAACTAAGCAATTATTATAATAAAAAGCCGAAGACTATTTGCTAGTCCAACTTTGTCCCTGTTTAGTAGAATTTAAAATTCAGATTTTAATCAAAATCAAAATTAATAATTAATCTTAATAACATATTTTATACTATCCATAACTTTTTAGATGCACGTTTAATCAATTTTTTCAAAATTTATTAAAAATTTAATTTTAATCCGATAGCAGTTAAAATTATTACACATAATTTTCTCAATTTAAGAAGAAAAAATCGTATTCATAGTTCTCTGCTTGTACCCCCAGTCGTCACGAGCACGCGTACGCGCTCAATTCTCTGCAAAAACCTAGCATCATCCCCTCGAGTTCTGGGCAGAGGAAGATTTATCGTAGAATTCATAGAGCCCATTTCAAATCCTAAGGAATGTTCTACAGAGGGTAAGAATTTCTGTACTGTGTATTTTTATTTTTATTTTCATTATCGTTGTTCAGTATCTATAGATTGAGCCAAGAATTTTATTTATTTTTATTTTTTTTTAAATTGAAAAACGATCTGGGTTAACAGCAAAAACGTGTAAAAGTACGATCTTTTTAATGCCCTAGTTCCAATTGATATTTATTAATGGGGCTAAATATAATTATGCGTGCTTACGTTTCTTTAGGTTTATATTTTCTCTGTATCTGATAATGGGTTAAATTATTTTCACTACTTGAGATTTCGGTCAATTTTTATTATTTTTTCATGAATTCAGTAGCAGGTACACCCAGTTTGGTGCAACCAAATAAGCATTATCGTTATTTCTAGATTCTTTAATTAGTGTGTTATTTGTCACCTGGTTAACTTTATATATTTATAAATAACTGGCGAAACATGAAATGTTTACTCAAGATTAGCTGGATTTGATCTACAGCTTTATGAAATCCTAAAAATTTTGGGGTAAAATTATCCAATTTAAGGGAAAAGAAAAAAGAAAAACTGCATTTGCAGTTCTGGTTTTTGGAATAAAATGTAAAGCATGAATCTGAATTTCATTCTTGTGTTTAGAATGAATTGGAAAGAAGGTTTTTTTGTAACTAATTTAGTAAATGAATTATAGTCCTGCTTAGCTTTTATTTCTTATATTTCAAATGAAACGAATTTCCAATTTCATTAATTTTTTAATAGTTGCAAATATAGAAATTGATTTTACTTTAGGAGTTGATTTTTATATCCCTTGTATTTTTTTTTTTTTTTTTTTTTTTTTTTAAAAGTACGATCTTTTTAATGCCCTAGTTCCAATTGATATTTATTAATGGGGCTAAATATAATTATGCGTGCTTACGTTTCTTTAGGTTTATATTTTCTCTGTATCTGATAATGGGTTAAATTATTTTCACTACTTGAGATTTCGGTCAATTTTTATTATTTTTTCATGAATTCAGTAGCAGGTACACCCAGTTTGGTGCAACCAAATAAGCATTATCGTTATTTCTAGATTCTTTAATTAGTGTGTTATTTGTCACCTGGTTAACTTTATATATTTATAAATAACTGGCGAAACATGAAATGTTTACTCAAGATTAGCTGGATTTGATCTACAGCTTTATGAAATCCTAAAAATTTTGGGGTAAAATTATCCAATTTAAGGGAAAAGAAAAAAGAAAAACTGCATTTGCAGTTCTGGTTTTTGGAATAAAATGTAAAGCATGAATCTGAATTTCATTCTTGTGTTTAGAATGAATTGGAAAGAAGGTTTTTTTGTAACTAATTTAGTAAATGAATTATAGTCCTGCTTAGCTTTTATTTCTTATATTTCAAATGAAACGAATTTCCAATTTCATTAATTTTTTAATAGTTGCAAATATAGAAATTGATTTTACTTTAGGAGTTGATTTTTATATCCCTTGTATTTTTTTTTTTTTTTTTTTTGTGCGTAGCAAACAGGATTTTAAGCTCTTAGTCAAATGATTGTGACATGGAGTTTGTCATAATAATTATGTTTACCTTAATGCTACATTTTTATCAGGAATTTTAATCTTTCTTCTTTCTCGTTTTGCTTCCGAAAGAATGATAACAGTATGTTAATTCATGAAAAAAAAAAAAAAAAAAAAACTAAAAAGAATTATCAGATAAAGCATACCACACACTGTGTTGATCGATTGTAATGCAGTACTGAAATATTGAGATTCTGTGTCTGTATGGCAATGAAGTAAATATATTGACAGTGGAGATGCACGAGAGATGGGTTTTAAACGGCAGCGATTGATGGATCAGGGCTCTTCATATTATGGAGCTCCTCCTGGTCCGAGTTACATGTACAATACTCCACCTCCACCGCCTCCAGTATATTCATATGTTCCCCCGCCTTTCCCTGTTGTTCGACTTCGAGGTCTTCCATTTGATTGTGCAGAATCTGAGATCGCTGATTTCTTCCATGGTTTGGACATTGTTGATGTCTTGTTTGTCCGTAAGGGTGGCAAGTTCACTGGGGAAGCTTATTGTGTATTGGGTTATCCTCTTCAAATGGATTTTGCTCTACAGAAAAATAGGCAAAATATTGGTAGGAGATATGTTGAAGTTTTCCGAAGCAGAAAGGAAGAGTACTACAAGGCAATAGCCAATGAAGTTTTTGATGCTCAAGGTGGTTCGCCTCGTCGTGGTGCCCCAAGAGCGAGATCTTATGATGAGAGCAAGGACTTGGCTGAATATAAAGGGGTGTTGCGGTTGAGGGGGTTGCCATTCAATGCCAGCAAGGAGGACATTATGGATTTCTTCAAGGATTTTGTACTTTCTGAAGAGAAAATTCATATGATAGCTAACTCAGAAGGAAGACCGACTGGGGAAGCATTCGTGGAGTTTGCAAGTCCTGAGGATTCAAGAGCTGCAATGGCTAAGGATAGGATGACGCTGGGCTATCGCTATATAGAGCTTTTTCCTTCATCTCACGAGGAATTGGAAGAGTCAGCTTCAAGGGGCAGGTGACTATCTTTTACTTTCTTTCCCTTTCTCCTTTGCTCTTTACCTCCTTCTGTCCCTGGGTGTCATTGAGTTTTCTTCTCATTGCTAGTTCTGGTTGCTCCATATTTTCCTATAATGATTAGCTTATGTGTTCTGGCTCTTCCATATAGGGTGTATTACACCATTTACACATTTTTTCCTTTGAAAATTTGTCTTTGCATTTCATATTAGCACATACGTTTCCTGAGTAATCATGATGCTTAACATGATTTATGAAGTCAATGCTGATAGTGATATTCATACAAATAATATCGTGATTTATTTTGGTTTACACTTTACACAACTCATAACATGCTCCAAATTTAATATCAGTTAAGTCCTTGGCTGGTCTTGGGCAGTCCAATCCTATCATAATTAGACAATTACAAATGCTGGATAAATTGTCAATATAGCAATTGTGTTATTCTCTAGTTGTTGCCTATTTTTCCAAGTTGCATGTGAGATATAATATTGAGAAGCGCATATATGAAGAAAAATGCTAATAATGTTGCTAATAACCCTTCTTATCAGGTTATTACCTAAATCGTACGAGGGGAAGGAGCTAACTGAACTAACATCTGTATTGCGAATGAGGGGATTGCCATTTTCAGCTGGCAAAGATGACATAATCGAGTTCTTTCAGAATTTTACTTTGTTAGAAGATTCAATTCATATTACCTACAATTACGAGGGAAGACCTACAGGGGAAGCTTTTGTTGAGTTTGCAAGTATGGATGATGCAAAAGCAGCATTGGCTAAGGATAGGATGACGCTTGGAAGTCGTTATATAGAGCTATTTCCATCATCAGTTGAAGAGATGAATGAAGCAATTTCAAGGGGACGCTGAAAATTTCAGCCTTGTTTTTTGTTGTGTACTTTGATATCCTCAATGCCACTAAATGTATGAAATTTGTGCTTTAGTCTTTAGCTAAAATATGAGGATTACTCGGAAAATAGATGCCATTACTCTTGAATTTTGATACTTATTTGCAGCTGCTATGTGCCCTCTTATCTTGACTATTGATTGGTGTATGCATTTAGATGGTTGTTTAAATTCCATAATTCGAACCTACAACTTCTTTGGTTTAAGTTAATGGAAATGTTCGACCTTGGACAATATTAAAAAGAAAGTATTAGTTAAAATGTTGTTCATTATATTGTCTCGTCATATTTATATAGCATACCTTGGATATAGGTACACAGGTATAACGTGGCCTGACCTGCTTGACTGCATTGGCAATGGGCATAGGCTCGACCCACAATTTCTGTGAGCTGGCTTGTCCTGGGCTTGGACCGGGTGGGCCACCAGACCCAAATAGTCAACAGGCATGGTTAATCAGATTTGTAAGATAATTGGGAATATTATATATGGACTTCATTTTATTGTTGCCAACTTATGAAACAATAAAGGATGTCAAAATTTATTAATTATAGGATCTGTTTCTCGACCATCTTATACATTGTAAATCCCAATGTATTCAGCACAATTTTTTTTTTAAAAATTCACAAGAAAAACACATTAATTATGTTTGTTTATATTTATGAGGCTGTTTGTGGACGAGGAAGAATGAAGTTTACAGGGCATAATGTGCAACGCACATGTAACTAATTGATTTAAATAAAAGTTCTCTAAATATGCTTTATAGTGAAGGACAATGTTACGTGTACATAATTTTTTTTTTACCTAATTCTTTACTTATTACTAACAATGGGGAGTGGGAATCACATTTAGGAATTTTTATATTCACGTTGGGTCCACGTGCATTGTGAGAGGGTGGGCAACTTTCAGTACCCCCAATTCGGTACAAATAGAATTATTCTATAGTGAATACTTTACGAGCATTGAATTTTTACTACATAATTGATATCTAAGGATAATATTTCTTGCCTGCCTTTTTCACAAAGTCCATCTCAATACGATTAGTATGTTTAATTGAATAAATATTATAAAAATAATTGACAAATATGTTTTGTATCTTAATTCCCGCCTCTTTCTTTTGATACCCTTTTCAAATTTACACCACTCCCCACAAAAAAAATAAAAATAAAAATAAATAAATAAATAAAACAAGTAAAAAAATTAAGAAAAACACGTGAAGACTTAGAGTGCTCCAAATTTGGGCTTATTCAGTCTATTTGAACTTTTGCATCCCAAAGTTCAAGAAATTCAGCGAAGTGCACGTGTCTGTAATACATTATGTACTGTTGCAAGGTTCTTACCGATTGAATTTTGCTATTTGTCCATTGATTTTTGACACGTTGTTTAACACTTGCATTGTCGTCAGGTGTCAATTGGATGGGAAAACTGTTAGAAATTCTAACTCTCCAACAGGGTAAGTCACGAGACAAAGTGTAAATTAAAGTGTACATATAGCAAGGTCCTTACCGATGGAACTTTGCTATTTGTACACTGATTTTTGACACATTGTTCGATACTTGCATTGTTGTCAAATATGAATTGGATGGATAACTGTTAGAAATTCAAACTGTCCAATAGTGTAATTACATGTGGCAAAGTGTAAACTAAAATTTGCACCATAGTGTACATGTAGCAAGGTTCTTACCGATTGAACTTTACTATTTGTATACTGATTTTTGACACATCGTTTGACACTTGCATTGTAGTCAAGTGTCAATTGGATGGGAAAACTGTTTGAAATTTCAACTGTCCAACAGGCTAATGTCAAGTGGTAAAGTGTAAACTAAAGTGTACCACATATTGTACATGTAGCAAGGTCTTTACCGATTGAACTTTGCTATTTGTATACTGATTTATGACACCTTGTTTGACACTTGCATTGTTGTCAAGTGTGAATTGGATGGAAAAACTTCTTCAAATTCAAACTTTCCAATAGGGTAATGTCACGTGATAAAGTGTAAATTAAAGTGTACACCATAGTGTACATATAACAAGGTTCTTACCAATTGAACTTTGCTATTCGTACACTGATTTTTTACATGTTGTTTGATACTTACATTGTTGTCAAGTGTCAATTAGATGAGAAAACTGTTAGAAATTTAATTTAGTGTCAATTGGATGGAAAAATTATTTGAAATTTAATTGTCCAGCAGGTTAATGTCACGAGACAAAGTGTAAACTAAATTGTGTACACCATAGTGTACATGTTGCAAATTTCTTACCGATTGAACTTTACTATTTGTACTCTGATTTTTGACATGTTGTTTGACACTTGCATTATTGTCAAGTGCGAATTGGATGGAAAAACTGTTTGAAATTTAAACTGTCCAACAGGGTAATGTCACGTGGCAAAGTGTAAACTAAGGTATACACCATAGTGTACATGTTGTGAGATTCTAACCGATTGAACTTTGCTATTTGTACACTAATTTTTGACACGTTGTTTGACACTTGCATTGATGTCAAGTGTCAATTGGATAGGAAAACTGTTTGAAATTTAATCTATCCAGCAAGGTAATGTTACGTGACAAAGTGTAAACTGAAGTGTACACCATAGTGTACATATAGCAAGGTTCTTACCGATTGAACTTTGCTATCTGACACTTGCATTGTTATCAAGTATGAATTGGATGGGAAAAATGTTTGAAATTCAAACTGTCCAACAGGGTAATATCATGTGGCAAAGTGTAAACTAAAGTGAACACCACAGTGTACATGTAAGAAGGTTCTTATCGATTGAACTTTGCTATTTGTATACTAATTTTTAGCGCGTCGTTTGACATTTGCATTGTAGTCAAGTGTCAATTGGATAGGTAAACTGTTTGAAATTTAAACTATCCAAAAGGGTAATGTTACGCGGCAAAGTGTAAATTAAAGTGTACACCATAGTGTACATGGGGCAAGGTCCTCTCCGATTGAACTTTACTATTTGTACACTGATTTGTGACACGTTGTTTGACACTTGCATTGTTGTCAAGCGTTAATTGGATGGGAAAACTATTTGAAATTTAAACTGTCAAACAAGGTAACGTCACGTGGCAAAGAGTAAACTAAAGTGTACATCATAGTGTACATGTAGTAAGGTTCTTAGCGATTGAACTTTGCTATTTGTGCATTGATTTTTGACATGCCATTTGACACTTGCATTGTAGTCAAGTGTCAATTTGATGGGAAAACTGTTTGAAATTTAAATTGTCCAATAGGGTAATGTCACGTGGTAAAGTGTAAATTATAGTGTACACGTAGCAAGGTCCTTACCGATCGGACTTTACTATTTGTATACTGATTTTTGACACGTTGATTGACACTTGCATTATTGTCAAGTGTGAATTGGATGGGAAAACTGCTTCAAATTCAAACTGTCTGACAGGGTAATGTCACGTGGCAAAGTGTAGACTAAAGTGTACACCATAGTATACATGTAGCAAGATTTTTACTGATTGAACTTTGCTATTCGTACACTGATTTTTTACACGTTGTTTGACACTTGTATTATTGTCAAGTGTCAATTGGAAGGGAAAACTGTTTGAAATTTAATCAAGTGTCAATTGGATGGAAAAACTGTTTGAAATTCAAACTGTCCAACAGGGCAATGTCACGTGGCAAAGTGTAAACTAAAGTGTACACCATAGTATACATGTAGTAAGGTTTTTACCGATTGAACTTTTCTATTTGTACACCTATTTTTTACATGTTGTTTGACTCTTGCATAGTTGTCAAGTGTCAACTGGATGGGAAAACTGTTTTAAATTTAATCAAGTGTTAATTGGATGGAAAAACTGTTTGAAATTTAAACTGTCTAGGAGGTTAGTGTTACATGGCAAAGTGTAAACTAAAGTATATACACCATAATATACATGTAGTAATATTTTTACCGATTGAACTTTGCTATTTGTACACTGATTTTTGACACGTTGTTTGACACTTGCATTGTTGTCAAGTATGAATTGGATGGGATAACTGTTAGAAATTCAAATTGTCCAATAGTGTAATTACATGTGGCAAAGTCTAAACTAAAGTGTGCACCATAGTGTACATGTAGCAAGATTCTTACCGATTGACTTTGCTATTTGTACACTGATTTTTGACACGTCGTTCAACACTTGCATTGTAGTCAAGTGTCAACTGGATGGAAAAACTGTTTGAAATTTAAACTGTCCAATAGGGTAATGTCAAGTGATAAAGTGTAAATTAAAGTGTACACCATAGTGTACATGTAGCAAGGTCTTTACCGATTGAACTTTTCTATTTGTACATTGATTTTTGACACGTTGTTCGACACTTGCATTATTGTCAAGTATGAATAGGATGGGATAACTGTTAGAAATTCAAACTGTCCAATAGTGTAATTACATGTGGCAAAGTGTAAACTAAAGTGTGCACCATAGTGTACATGTAGCAAGGTTCTTACCGATTGAACTTTAGTATTTGTACATTGATTTTTGACACGTTATTTAACACTTGCATTGATGTCAATGTCAATTGGATTGGAAAACTGTTTGAAATTTAAACTGTCCAACAGGGTAATGTCATGTGACAAAGTGTAAATTTAAGTGTACACCATAGTGTACATGTAGCAAGGTTCTTACCGATTGAACTTTGCCATTTGTATACTGGTTTTTGACACGTTGTTTGACACTTGCATTGTTGTCAAGTGTGAATTGGATGGGAAAAATGTTTGAAATTCAAACTGTCCAATAGGGTAATATTATGCGGCAAAGTGTAAACTAAAGTGTACACCACATTGTATATGTAGTAAGGTTCTTATCGATTGAACTTTACTATTTGTACATTGATTTTTGACACGTCGTTTGACACTTGCATTGTAGTCAAGTGTCAATTGGATAGGTAAACTGTTTGAAATTTGAACTGTCCAATAGGGTAATGTCAAGTGGCAAAGTGTAAACTAAAGTGTACACCATAGTGCACATGGGGCAAAGTCCTCTCCGATTGAACTTTGCTGTTTGTACACTGATTTTTGACACGTTGTTTGACACTTGCATTATTGTCAAGTGTGAATTGGATGGGAAAACTGTTTGAAATTTAAACTGTCCAACAGGGTAATGTCCCGTGGCAAAGTGTAAGCTAAAGTGTACACCATAGTGTACATGTAACAAGATTCTTATCGATTGAACTTTGTTATTTGTGCATTGATT